CGGTGTCGTTCTGGTGGAGGCTTCTCTTTCGTGCTTTAATGGCACCGCGCTGTCTACCTCCTCCGTTTAGAACGGCCACTGACTCCGTTGTTGATTTTTACATTCATCGTCATTTGGTTGATATTCGGCAGCGGTTGACTTGCTGCTACGTCCCCACATGCCAGAAGGCAATGATCATTTTCGGACCGCCGACTTTTTGTAGCCTGCAGGGCCTTTGGCAATTCGGCCGGCGACCGAGTCGGTGTTATGTTCGACGCCGACAGTACCATGAGGGGTGGGTGGCTAAGTTTTGCGGAGACTTCGCCATGGTCGCCAACCCTCCGACTTTTTCGTCAGCGCTTGATACCGGCAACAGCGGAGTTAGTAGAGCGCTTTTTTGATAATTGTTGTTGCCAATATGAATATCTCAGATTAGTCGTTAACCTTCAAGTTCATCCTCTCGCATCTACCTTGCCGGATTTCGCGACACTTAGCCGGTGGCTATTTGTTTCGTAGAGCTTGAATTAGTTCAGCTTGTTTTTGGTCCTAAACCGCCGCAGCCGTATGGATACCGAAACTGTGCCACTCGGCATTTATTCCCACCTCTTGGACATATTTCTTTCCTTGAGTATTCTTTTCGTTAGCATAGCACTGACATGTGTAGCTGTGTGCATTCAAGGCAGTTACATAAATGTAAATAATCACAGTCCTTTTTTAGGTCGAAACTGTGAACTGGTGGATCACTGTGCAATATCACCGAAGTGTTTTAATGGTGGAACGTGTGAATTGGATGGTCTCGGCGATTATCGGTGTCTGTGCCCGCCGGGATTTACTGGTCCAAGCTGTAAAGATGACATTGATGAATGTGCTTTGTACAGTCCGTGTCAGCATGGATCCAAATGCTTTAATGCAGAGGGATCCTATAGGTGCGTATTGCGGGGTGTTTCGCCGGTAGCCATTGTATTGTAGTTTTTGGCGTACGCGCAGCCATTAGTTTGCTGTTAATTGTAACAGATTAAAGCAGTTGTTTTGTCATTTGGAGCCATTTGAGCCCACAAAACGATGGCTAACAGTATCCAAATTAAACAAATCTGAGAAACGGTAATTGAAAAGACTGTAGTACAAAAGAAGCTGCAGGATTTTGTTTCCTATTTATTTGAGATATACGGTAATATCCCGACGTGAACTCGCAGTTACGCGGTTTTATTTCGCTTGTCAGAAAACTGCCGCCAGCTATCTTCAGTGTTTCTCTTTTCGTGATACGCACTGGACGCGTTTTGCGCGAACTCTACGTGGACGATTACGATTCCACGATTGACGACAGTTAAGATTGTTTTGTTGTACGTATTGTGAACCCTTAAAAACTGTCGTTAAAACGAAATAAATCTGATTCTCCTGAACCAAGTAAGAAAAGTAAAAGGTATCTTTGGAATGTAATTTTAACATTATCAATGATTTTGAAAGCAGAATGAAAATGTGTGAATTGGCAAAGAAATTTGAGTTACCAGAATCCACAGTAAGAGCAATCATAAAAGATTACGAAAGAATTCTCGATGTGGTGAAAAATGCTCAATCCTTGAACTCAAGCATGATTCGTAAACGTCATGGTACTATTGTTGAGACGAAACAGTGTTGAAATTATGATGTGATAATCAAGTGAAGAATTGTCGTGCCGTTCAGAACACTGTGTGCAGTCAAGCTAAGCTAATTACTGAGATGTTGAAAGAAGCTGAGGCGGGCGAAGATGAAAACTTCGTAGCTGGTAACGGTTGGTTCGACCGATTTAAAACTCGCTGTAATAGTAACAGCATCGCGGAGAGTGGATAGGCGGCAAGTGCCGATAAAGAAGCTGCGTCTTCGTTTCCTGAGACACTCAAGACTGTGATGGAAGGTGACTGTAGCAGTAAACCGTATTTAACATGGATGAGACAGCCCTGTTCTGGAAGAAGATGCCTAAAAGAACTTTTATCGCACGTGAAGAAATAGACTTTCCAGGCTTTAAGGTTTCTAAAGACCGATTGGCAGTGGTGGTTGGCGGGAATGCAGCTGGTGACTGCAAGTTAAACTCTCTTAAGTGACCTCTCTTAATTTACCGCTCCGAAAACCCAAGAGCCTTAAAAAATGTATCTAAAATTAGCTTACCAGTGATTTGGAAGTCAAATCATAAAGCTTGGTTGACAGCTTCCTTTTCTAAGGACTGGTTTGGTCATCACATCTTACCCGAAGTCGAGCGCTATTGCAAGTCCAAACAGATTCCTGTTGAAGTGATGCTTCTTATTGACAATGCACTCTGTCACCCTTCTGCCACCCTAATTGAATTCGATCGACTTGTGAAAATCGTTTTTGCCTCCAAATACAATCAGCTTGCGTCAACCGATGGACCAGAGAGTCATCAGAACATTCAAGGCTTAGTACACGAGGCGTTCGCTTGCACATCTGAATGGAGCTTAGGCAAAACAGTGAGATATCTATTAAAGACTTTTAGAAACAATTCAAGGAATGCTCCAATTATAGGGGCATGACGCTATTGAGCCTCCCAGGTAAAGTCTACGCAAAGGTGTTAGAAAGGAGCTGCCGTGAAACAGTTGACCTCAAGATCCAAGAAGAGCAGTGTGGCTTCCGGCCCAGTCGAAGCACCTCTGGCCATATATTTGCCCTACACCAGATTGTTGAGAAATCGTGGGAGTACGCCCAGTCAGTGTATATGTGTTTTGTGGACCTAGAGGAAGCGTATGACCGGATCCCACGCAACAGTCTGTGGACATGCCTTCGTGCATACGGGATTGATGGCCAGCT